ATTACCTGCACCAAACTCCAGTACCATGCTGCCTGTGTCGTTGCCTCTGAAGGCGCAGAGCATGCTGGTCCAAGAATGAAAATCTTCGTTGGTTCCCTGTATAGCAGCTCATACATCGAATTCACCGCTGCACCGGCGACACACTGTCGTAATAATATACATAATAAAAACAAAGATTATTTTAATTACAAATGTGTCTTTCTATTTAATATCACAATTGTGGTGGAAGTATTAGCTTAATTATACCTATCTTAATTACAAAGAGTCTGTACATGTTAATCTGTCTGTTTGTCTGTCTCTGTGATATATACTTGTGTAGTTTTTTAAGATTTGAATTTGTTTACTTATTTACCGCGCACCGCACAAAATCTGCCTGAGTAAAATCAGTCACACGCTTGGCATTCAAGATTTGTGTTAAATACCGTTTAAAATTCACTGAAGAGGCATTCGAGAGCCGCAAGCCTCCGATTCAACCTTTTCTTAGTATTATTAAGGTACAGATAAACACATATATAGATGATAACCCGCAATACATGTATCAAATTTCCGTTCACGACAAGTGCCTCGCGACTGCAGGTAAACTCGCCCCTACTGCGTAACATTGGATGTCCAAACATCAACAACTCGAAACGGCACGTAGTGAACACAGTCCAGCAGTGACTAGTTCGGACGTGTATATCAAAGCATGCCGGCCTCCTATGTGGAAATGTTATGTTGTTTCTAATAATTAATTTTCACTAGGAGAGCCAGCTTACACAAAATGTCCAAGCCATGCTTGTTTTCATGCTTACGTGCATGCATGCAAGTACTTACAATGCAAGTAATTACAAATTTTAGTCAGGTCTCATTCTATAATGCTTATGGCCAGTATCGTTTAAATCAACCATATTAGAATATATTTTAATACAAAAATACCGATTTCGTCCAATTTTCATTTACTCACGACGAAATATCATGCCCCGTATTTAACTTATTCAGCATATATCCCCGATAAAATTGATCGTTGTAGGCCAGAACATCTTCTCTCCGCTTCTATGAGGCTACGCGACAAGTACTCTGGTCTGCGTATTTATGATTTAAATAATTCTGTATTAAAAGTTGTTTATTTTGCTTGTTTTTTCATAAAAAATATAATTTAAAACAACAATAATATCAACTAATTTTCGCAGTATTACCAGAATAAAATTATTTTGTATTTTACTAGATAGTAGATTACGGAAGAACATACTCGGTTTACACTTCGTTACCCTTTCTATGTTAGTTGAAACGTGAAAATTGGGTGTCTTTAATAACCACACACTAAATGCATGTGAATCTGTAGTTATATAATCGGAAATATTCGTAACTCCAACGGCAATATTCTGACAATTATCGTAAACTGGCGGAAATATGCAAAATGTCACGCTTTTTGATCATAGCAAAACTACGACGAATAATATATTAGCGAATGTATGTAGAATGTATATTTATATGTATAATTGAACTGCCTCTTGACATCGCACTGACGTTATTCAGTGTTATACCCTTTCCTCATTTCTCAGCTCCTGAGAGCGAGGTTATTTGTAGTTATGTTGGTGATCAACGCTGTGTCTGGGGAAGTGCTATGAGAGATTGCATGATGGGAGTGAAAAGTCTTTTGATCAATAAAATATTTTTAGAAAAGTGAAAACTAGAGTGACTGTGAAAAAAAGGTTGGTTTTAGATATTAAATTTCATGGAATCTGGATGAAATAATGAAAGGAAATTGAACTGGTATGAAAGGGAGGTAAATGCAGCCAGAATGCAAGGTCAAATTCTGGGGGTCAAAATACGTCACAATGCATCCATCATTGCGGCTGCAAAGTGACAACAACTATGGATGTAGTAAAAGACTTGATTTACAGTTTGCGAGAATGGTTGGGAAAAAAACATGCACATTCTGTGCTTCAGTAACAGTATTTGCTGCTTTTTTGTGCAATGAAAACTAATACAAGAAATGCTGCCAAAAGATTTCCTTCTAGTAAACAAAACGTTGAGAAATTTAGAAGACAGTCGTTGTTTTGAAACAATGGACATACTACTCCAGGGTATCAAGGTAATTTTGATTATTTGAAGTGGGAAACTGCTGCTTTATGGAAGAGCTTTGGCTTGGGAAATGACCCCGCACATGTGATTGGCCTGGGCTAGTTGAAGACGTTTTTAGAGGGATGGCTCGTTAGAAGTATTCACCGTGACTCCAGACTTTTCATTCAGGTTTATACTACAACACTTACATGTTACTGTCAGGAAAGTTTAATGTCTTGTTTGTATTTGCACAATGTGAAAGAGGAGTTTATTGTCAAAATATATATGGGTGCTTGTATGCCTATTGAAACTATACAAAATTTTACCTATGTACATCCGTTTCATGTGTTAAAAGAACGTTGCGATGTTCTCATGAAATTGTTAAATCCCAACTGTCACCGTTTTGACGACTCGTGTGCAATTGTAAGAGTATATTTCAGGTATACTCGAAGTGAATCTCAGCACTGTGCCTTTTATAAATGTTATGGTTCTGTTACAGCAAGTCTCCGAAGTATTGGGGCAGCAAACTCGCTAGCAAGTTGGCTAACTGCTTAGGTTCTGTCTAAACAGTTGGCTTTCGAATCTCGCTGGCGCCGAGTCTATATTGCTTTAGGTGATATAAAATGTTTTTACGCGCCCTGGTACATGTTTGGATTCCCCTGAATGATTTGCTTTGTTATTCGAAGAGTGACAATGTAAAACTAGTACGAGTAAGTTATACAGGGGTAGGCATCTTGAATACGGCTTGAAACTAAATAAAGAGACAAGTTGAGAAATAGTTTCTACAAAGAATAATATTCAACCTCATTCGTCGTTTTGGAGGTAGCCATCAGGACATTGAGTTACGAACAGCGAGTTACGAAAACCTTGAGTTACAGAAATGACCACGCCCATTTTTGTGAAACCACGCCCAAATTGTAACTCGAGGTTCAATTAACAGTTAATCAAACTTC